TCCTTAAAAAATCTCACGAAAAGAAAAAAACAAATCGAAAAACAAATTTGATTGCCCTGAGAGCCGCCAGAACTAGACATCGTTTTTGTCGAAGGTAGTTCATTTTAATTATGTATCTCTTTCTCTTTTTTCTTCCTTTTTCCCTTTTTGCGATCTACGATGAATGGTCTTTCGCTTCTTCTTCCATTGCTCAGTCTCTCTAAAAACTACTGAATATTCATGTCGATTTCATTTCCAATTTTTTAGAAGATGGTGGCTATCTTTTTTTTGAAATGTTTTCTTTTGAGCTTCTAGCCCTTCAGGATCATTTTTTAAAAAGATGCTCTGGAAATTGGAAAATTGAAATTTGAAATTTGATCCTGTTTGGTTATTTTTCAAAAAATGGAAATCAAGACTAATGGTTGGAAAAATGAAAATGGATGTTTTTACCAATTTTCAAATTTTCCTTTTTTGGAAAATTTAACAAACCGAATTCAAAGACATCTTTTTGCAATTTTTTTTCGGAGTTTTTTGGAATTTTCCTGAAAATGAGGAATTTTAAAAAAATTTTAAACTTTGGAACTTTCGAATTTCTGGTTTTCCAAACTTTCTGAAATTCTGAAGTTCTGAAATTTTGAAATTCTGAAATTCAGAGATTCAGAGATTCTGAAATTCTGGAATTCTGTATTTCTGAAATTCTGAAATTATGAGATTCTGAGATTCTGATGTTCTGAGATTCTAAGGTCGAAAGGTTCTAAGATTCTAAGATTCTAAGATTCTAAGAGGAGATCTTTTTTAAGATTTGAAATTCTAAAATTCTGAAAATTCTGTAACTCTGAAATCATTATTTTTCACAGTTATGGAGTGATTTCCATTTTTTGAAAAATAACCAAACAGGATCAAATTTCAAATTTCAATTTTCCAATTTCCAGAGCATCTTTTTAAAAAATGATCCTGAAGGGCTAGAAGCTCAAAAGAAAACATTTCAAAAAAAAGATAGCCACCATCTTCTAAAAAATTGGAAATGAAATCGACATGAATATTCAGTAGTTTTTAGAGAGACTGAGCAATGGAAGAAGAAGCGAAAGACCATTCATCGTAGATCGCAAAAAGGGAAAAAGGAAGAAAAAAGAGAAAGAGATACATAATTAAAATGAACTACCTTCGACAAAAACGATGTCTAGTTCTGGCGGCTCTCAGGGCAATCAAATTTGTTTTTCGATTTGTTTTTTTCTTTTCGTGAGATTTTTTAAGGAAAAAAGTGTTTGAGAAACGAAGATGATGGGTTCCACTTGTTTCGGTAAGAATATAAAATTTAAAAGAAAATTTGGAAAATCATTCAAGCGAAAAAAAAGTAAGGAAAATATTTTTTGAGCTGAAAAACAGAAGGACAGAGGAGTTGAAAAGTAGGAGGAACATGGAAAAAAGACAACATGTTTTTAGGACACTTGGACGCGTTAAGATGGAACGAATGGGAATTTCGAATGACTGGAAACTATGAAAAAATGAGCTTTTTCTTGGGTCGGGAGGTCAGAAATCGAAATTGTGGTCTTATTCTTTAAAGTTGAAGCTATCTAAAGATGCGAAATACAACATTTCAATACTTTGCTGAAAATTAATAAAACTTAAATTTTCAAATATGATTTGTCAAGAGCTTAAAAATAATCTTCCACAACCCAAAGTTTGATGAAATTTGAAATTTCGTCGGTCCCAAAGTTGTAAAATTGGATAATCAAACAAAGCTAGGCTTGCATAGGCGCATGTTGAAGATTCTATTAGGAGCCAAAACAGATCAATTTATAGTCAATAAGGAAATAGACATAGAGTGTGTATTTACCGTATTTCCTCTAAAAGCAATTCACCAAAACCGTCAACTTGAGCTCAATTATCCCGAATCCTATTAGAGATATCAGAAATTTGTTGACTGATAAATTGCTTATCATAATATCACCAATATTGTATCAGTTGAAAAAATTTTGATATCTTTGACAGGAATCGAGATAATTGATCACCAAGTTGACGGTATGGGTGAGCTTCTATTAGAGGAAACACGGCAGTTAGTGTTGCTCCCATTTAGTTGAAAAATGTTCATCTCTGAACTTTGTTTCATTTTGATTCCAGACTATTTTTCTCTCGTTTTCCAATTTCTTGATTCTAATCCGACCTGTCACTCAAATCGGACTTTTTTTGCTCTTTCTCTACTCGAAATTCCCGAAAAAAAACCTTCTTTTCGTTTTCTTTGTTTTCAAAAAATGCCTGTTTGTTGCTTCTTTTTTTTCTTTTCTCTTCTGTTTTTTATCTTCTCTATTCAATTCTTTGCATTATTGTTTTTAGAAAAACGAAAAAATAGGGGTTGTTGGGAGGTATGGAGGTCCACGGAGACGAGAAAAAAAAGAAGAACACAACCCGAATTCCGCCATTTTTTAATTCTTTTGGTTTTTTTCCCGCCTTTTCTGTTTTTTTCAGAGCATCACCAATTCGTTTTATAGTATTTCTCTTATCTTATTGGTTCTAATAATTTTAAAAAATTCAGAAATTCAGAAATTCAGAAATTCGAAAAATTCAGAAATTTAGAAATTCAGAAATTCAGAAATTCAGAAATTCAGAAATTCAGAAATTCAGAAATTCAGAAATTCAGAAATTCAGAAATTCAGAAATTCAGAAATTCAGAAATTCAGAAATTCAGAAATTCAGAAATTCAAAAAATTCAGAAATTCAAAAAATTCAGAAATTCAGGTTTCTTTTAGTAACCCTACCTTTTAGACACAAAATTCAAAAAAGTGACAACAGAATCCGATAGTGCCAGTCACTATGTTCCAAAAATACATTCAAATAAACTCCCGCCCCTAGTAAATATATTTGTTTTCAGAACATTGGTTTCTGGAAATCAATTGGAAACTCGTGTCCAAAACCTTTTCAGAATGTTACTTGGGTTCTTGGCTATAGAAAACGTATTCTGGATTCTTGGACTTTCAGTTTTTTTTCTCATTTTGTAACTTCAATTAATTTAGGTGCGTATAACATAGACGAGAACTATACAAGATAGCGTCATTGGTACAGTAGGAGACAATCTGGCGACAATCCACAAACACCTCTTTGATATCCCCTTGAGGGGTACTGTAGAATAATTTTAAAAAATTCAGATGAAGAAAGATGAAGAAGTCCTTACTTCTTCATCTTTTTTTCTTAAAGGTGGTGTACGGTGAAATTTTTTATTGCATCAAAATGTGCAGAAATGCATGTAGATTGACTTAAAAGAAGAAAAAATTCAAAAAAATTCCTTCATCGAGAAAAACGCATCGAAAAATACGCTGAAAGCCCTTAGGGACGAGGTTTTTTCTAGGCCGCCCGGTGAGTAAAAGCGCGCGAATTCGAACTTTTAAAATTATTTCGCTCGTTTTCACTTTTTTTTTGTTTTTTCAAGAGTTTTCTAGGTTTTTGTCAATTTATCTTCGGGTACCGAGCTCGAA